GTCAAGCAAGAAAATAGTGGCATTTAAAATTGGTGTAAATGCTTTTGTCATGCAGGCAAGCTTTTGCAACACTTCATGTGACTGCCAGGTTGTCTGAAAGCTACAAGGTAATTTCCTCCTGAAAGTGCAAATGAAAACTAATCTAACACATGTACATTTATTGTCAGGGCTGTTTGTTGTCGAGAACTCACAAGAGCCCATTGCCTTGTGGTGACTAATTAAATACTGATTTACTTACTCTCCAAAGTTCAGTTGCTTCCACACCTTAAGCAAAGAGCAAAGAGAATATAGGTAAGAAAAAAAAAAAAGGGAATGCAGGCATACCTAGTGCCCAGGTATAGGCTTCTTTTAGGCCAGCTGAGCATAATTCTGCCTTTTGAAGAGTCGATTAATAATTTTTGGTTGGATCCTTGCAATTCCTTGGCCTCTGTTGGTTCATGAACAGCACAAGGGCAATGGTTTTTTTTCTTTCTACCACATAATGCAGTGTCCCACAGCTGCCTTTTCTAATATGCAGTGAAGGCATCAGCTCCCTGAATTTCTCAGTCATTTTACAGGTTCTCCTTGTCTCCTGTTATTCACCAGTGAGCCCCGCTCCTGTGGTTAGTGCAGTTCTCCTAAAACCATGTTTGCAGTTATGCTCAAAATGAAAGTATTTTTCCTTGGTTGAAAAGAAGCTTGCTTAGTCTATCACAGTTTCATAACCACCTTAAACTGGCTGAAGCCAACAACACAATCAAAAAGATAAGTTTCGCCCTTTCTCCTACCTCAGTCCTGCCCCTGCACAAGATCAGCCCAAGGATTTGGACAGCCACACCATGAGCCAGATCAGGAAACCGATCCAAATTAAAAATGAGCTTGGCCCCTGCAACATTTGCTTTCCCCGGCCATCTGAGTTCCCTAGGTCTGTTCAGCTCGCAGCTGCACCAACAACTGTGCCAGCACAAAGGGGGTGGGTGACACGGGGTTAGGGATGAGCAGCCGTCGTGGAGGAGGGAGGGTGGGACTGTTTTACTACTGACTTATCCAGCCAAGAATGATACTGAACTCAGGCAATGCGACTTGGACTTGCACCAGTTTTGAAAAACTCAAAAGGGGTTTCTAATTTACTCACGATAAGCACCATTTATATGGGGAATAAAAATAAGACATGGAGCCTTTTCCTTAATGTTTTTATTCCTTATATAAAATGGGCTGAGTATTTTGTCACAAAATAGCAACAAAACTAGGAACTAAAGGACTGCATTTAGATGTATTCTGTGTAATTTTGTCAGTCTTCCAGTGATGTAATACAGTTGTCTTCTCTTTGGGCATAAAGAGGGAGATAGAACCCTGTATCCAGATAATTACCATGGTTTGCCCAGCTGTCACCCATTGCCACAATCCAGTCCTGCTCCAAGGCTCATGAATGGGAGTGGAGCTGTGTGGCCATGGCAGTCCCAAGTGCCACACAGCAAGCTGTGGCACACAGCCACTCACACAGCCACTCACAGAACCCAGGCATTAGTGCACTGCTTGTACAGCCAGAGTGACCAAATAATAACACCTCAGGATTGCCAAACCACCTTTGATTTCTTTTCTCATAGAGTTATTAGCTTTAATTTTGTCTCTGCCACCTGTCTGAATAAATTTTAATATATCATTCGCTGGTGGTTTTCGCAACAAGATGTAACTGGGACAAGGACTGTAAGAACTTGAAAACAGTAATTAAAATGGGAGATAAGATTAATCTTAGCGGTGTCTTCCAAGAAACCAGTAGCAGAGCTAGGTTATTCCAGTTATGTAAATATTTTTAAGCTGAATGACTGAAGAGAAATTTAATTTTAAAAGAACCAATAATGTTTGATTACACAGAGTCCATTATCTCTTGCTGAGGCGATAGACAGGAGAAAGTGAAACTACCTTTCAAAGCTTCTATGTGGATGCAGGCAAGATCCAAAGGGAGAATTTCTAGAAAGTACAACACTGGTGCAGTACAGTGGGCTGGAATACTGTGCTTCATGGCAGCACATAATTAGCTGTCAGAAGAGAATGCAACCTCCCTTCTTTACCAGAAATGTAACGTTGCTGGAGCAAAGTCCTTACAGCAGAGCCTACTAAGAAAACAACCAATAAAGGAGATAAGGGAGTGCCCTGTTTAATACTTTATTTCAGCCCAAACCTTTCGGATTCATAACTTTTAATGAGGTTGTTGGCAGCTTTGGCCCGGTACATTAATCTTAAGAAAGTAATGAATTTTGGTGTGATTCTCATCATCTCAAGGGTGGAAAAGATGAACGACTACTCAGTCTGATCAAAGACCATTCTAGTATCTGCAGATAGATTTACAGCAGAAGCCTTATTTAACATAGCAGAGGGAAATACACATAATTACCTTGTAAAATTATCTGTTCCACATTTATTCTATATGAATTCCACTTAATCATGGTGGGCCAGTTTAGGAAGAACTTCTAAGAGTGAAATGGGTTCTTTGTTCTTTTGCATATGACAGTGAGTCAGAAAACTAAGATATTTGACCCTACAGAGACAAAGTCATGAAGGGTTCACTAGAAAATGGCCAGACATGCCACAGCAGGAGTATAGAGAGCCCTCATGTCACAATTTCTGTCATCAAAGCCTTTCACAACTTAGTTCCTTTTTATTTTGCATAACCTACCTACACAGCGCCAGCTCAAAGCTTCTCTTCTTTCCATGAGGGAAAAATGAATCTTGGCACTCGAGGACACAGACAGATCGATTTCTCCCATAAAACATCTTACTTTGGTTTCTGCTGAGGGTTGCAGAAGTCATTTTTGTGAGGACAGCACCAGAACAGTTTTCCCAAGCACCAGCCTCCTTACACAGCTCAAGGTACCATTGCCCTGATGGTTCTGCATCCCCACTGAAGTGCTGGTGATGGGCCTCTGTGCTCAGCCCCACTAAGGCAGCCCTGGGCAGGGGCTTGGGGCTGCTGAGGCTGCTGCACTTCTGCTGCTGGGGAGCAGGGAGTGGGAAGGGACAGGAGGGCCACCTGCCCCTCTTTAGTGGGGACAGCATTTTGCTGACTAGCTCTGCTGCTGCTGTCATTTTGCTGCCCCATTCCATCTACCTCTGGAGGCCACAGTTCAGTCAGCCCATGCCACTGTACCACTTCAGCTGTGGTGCAGGACTGAGGTATTGAAACCAGCTCAAACCCAAGTGTCTTTCTCGACAGCGGAAGTCAGCTCTGAACTCTGCTACTGTGGCTAGACAGGTCCTTGTATCCACATGGGTTTGGAAAACCATATGCAGTGCTGCACAGTTATGATGACCTCCTAAAAATGCTCCTTACCTTCTCCCACGTGCTGTCTTCTGCCTGAGGCATCTTTCCCAAACAGATTTGTGTAGTTGCTAAACAGTCTGCATATCCTATTTTAATAATGCTGAGGTGGGAGGCTTGTTTAGTACCTCACCTATTCAAAGATGAAGCAGACAAGCCATGAAGGATAGAAGTTAATAAATTTTACCAGCCAGCCCAGGAAAGAAGTAAATAATGAAATCCAGTATCCTTAGAAAGCTCTTCTTGACAGGACTGCCTCTTTTGTCTGAAAATATTGTTGGTATTTTCTCACACTAGGGCAACACTGTAACAGCTAAAAAGAAAATTAGTCCAATGATTTTAATGTAAATAATAAGTTGTGTGTGTAATACAATTTAATTATCCATGAAGCTCTAATTCCTGGCAGAAACCTGGTGTACATAAGGTATACATAAAGTTACTGACTTTGGAGCTAAACTGTCTCCAGAAGGCATTCTCCATCCCTGGAACCTCCTGAATAAGCCAGATGAAAACTGGCTGAGGTTAACAAGAAACACAAAATCATAGTCTACATACAAACTTGTATTTTAGAGGCAGATTGAAAGTTAATAGTAGTATTAGCAGTATTAGAATTTCTAAAATACTTGTTACTTAATACAATAGTATAAAATACACAGAGTAATGAACGTCTTTTAGCACTCTGCCTTCTGATAATCTGAGACACAGATTTCAAAGGTGATTGGGCAGGTGCTTGGTGAGATGTTAGAAAGCATCTATGAGATTAAAGTTTCCTTTGAGAATCTTATTAGACATTTATCTGCGTAAGTGCCCCAACTCCATTAAAATTCAGGTTCACAGGCCTTATGACTGATGGTATCATCAGATTGTACATCTAATCTGATGAAAAGTCAGGCTGTTTATAGACGAAATGGTTCTTCTCTTTCTTCATTGCCCCAGCCTCATGGCCTGTTTTCCTTGCACCAGTCTGAATGTAGTTGAAGAGTAAAAGTAGAAAAAACCCCCAATTTCTCTGTTACCTCATGAAATATCACAGTTATTCAGCCCAAGGCAGAGGAGGAACACTGTTGTAGGAGTAGCATCAAGGTCAACACCCAAGTGCCCGTGCCTCTCTGCTCTCCTTTCTTTTCAGTTTTCTCATATTACTCGGAAAAGCTAGGAAGATGCTAATGATACAGTGTACATTAAAAGTAGCCAATGGAGTTAGAAGTGGTGAATGTACAAGCCACTGACACCACTCACCCACAGAGTGATGAGTTTGGACAGTTAGCTGTGAGTTGGACATCCTAAAGTGGGTGGCAGACTAGGAGTTTTGACTCAGCCATGTACCAAACCAGCCCGGCCAGGGAAGCCCCGAGGCAGATCTGACCATGGCACACTGTTTCTGCTTGTCCTCTGGTCTTCTCACACCACTGATCTGTCTGAAGCCAGTTCTAACCAGCTCTCTCCAGAACAACAACTCTGGTTATTAAACATCAGTGAAAGGCTATACTAGGCTGTTTTATAGCCCTTTTTAGATAAAGGAACATATTAATGTGATCCTCCCCAAGCCTTAGCATAACTAGAAAATAATTTAATTCCCTCATGCCAAAGCGAACCAACCAGCCAACCCTAACAACAACAAAAGCAGTAAAAATGTGGTTCTAACAAGACACCTGACAAACTGCAGTGCTTCCCTAATTATCTTCTTGTCATATCTGTTTAGTGTGAATCATGAATTGAGTGGATACTCGAGCAACCAGGATCCAGCGGATGGAGCTTGTGCCCACCAAGTCAAAGAGGAGCAGAGCAGAGCAGAGCAGAGCAGAGCAGACCTCGGGCACACATAAGGCCTTTTCCATGTATTTCTCTGTGTGAGACTGGATCACCGAGACTGCCAAGCTCTTGGGGCAGATACTACTGCTGCGTCCACCACTCTTCATCCAGGACACTCAGCCCTGGATTAAGCACTGCCACAGTTCAAAAACCAGTAGCAGTCTCATGTTTCTTCTGTACCTTGCTTGCAAATATCCTCATTACACTGCCAAAATTTGAGGACCTTTTAGTTTGTCTTGAGATAAACTTTTACCAGTTACGTCTGCAGCCCAGTGCTGCACTGGATCTGTGTATGATTGCACATAAAAAGAAAAATTTACTTGCTAACTGTAATTGCATACAGTGCAAGCACAAAATACAAGTTAAGTATGATTACCAAAGTTCACCCATGTTGAATCATTTAAGATTCAAAACTTAAACAGTAAAGTATTAATTTTATTCCAGGCTTTCCCATCAACACTATAGCATCATTCTGTATGGGAGTTCCTTACTACCCTTGTATTGTACCATAATACCTAAGAACATAGTACAGTTCACTTGCTTGAAATTTATGTAGTATGTATGTGACAAAGAAATGGATGAATTTTAGATGATGAAGTTAGAAAGAAACACTGATACTCCCACAGGCATAAAACTTGGTATTTTTTACTGCTGCTGTCATGCCCCTTCTGTGACTTCGTGCAAGTCATTCCAGTTCTGTGTCTTCAGACTCACAATGCACCTGGGTGGGCAAGTCCAGGATCACTGTTCATCTGGTAAAACTCTCAGGGCCTTAAGTCCTCTGGGCCTCAGTGTTGCTGTTTTTTAAAATGATGTTAAAAGCATACCTAGAACTGCATATACATGTGAAAATTTGCTGGCTTAAGTATAGAAATGTAACAGAAACATCTTGCACTTGTTGCTTCATACCTCCTTCCAGGAATGATGACTGGGTAAAAGCCAAAGTATTTGTTAAAGAATGAGTTTCAGTTCAATCTTACTTGTGCAATACTTATCTGACTACTGTACAGTTTCCTGTAAACATAACAGGCAGGAGAGACTCGCCGATCCTCATGTGCGCTGCAAACTTTCAGCCAGGTCCACTCGGGAGCAGATACTCACAGATTCAAACAAGAGTTCAAGTTCATTTCAGAGGGACAGCGGCGTGAGGCTTCATTATTGTGGATCTGGTTGCACAAGAAGCCTCACGCACTGCAACAGGTTTACTCGCATGAATGAGGTGTAAATGCAGCATTAGTACCTACGGGCAGGAGGATGTCCACGTGTAAAATACATGGGGATAGAGACTCCTCCGTCACTGGGGGAGGTATTACAGCAATTACTTCAGTATTAAGAATAGACCAAGTGAGGACTGAATCACCTGCGGCAAGAGGCAGGACATAATCCAGTTCGATCAGGAATTGACTGTAACTGAGAGTCTGACAACATCTGCCGCTGCCGGAGCTCCCCAGCCGCGCTCCAGCCGTACAGCAGCGCCTTTTAAACCCCTGAGGAGGTGCCCGAGGGCGCTCGGACATCGGGACGGTCTGGGGGTCAGCGGAGCCCAGCAGCCCGAGCTCCCGGCCGGGGCCGCTCGGCGGCGGCGGGCGCAGCGCTCCCAGCGGGACACGGCGGCGCGGCGGCGGGGGCGGGAATTTGGGGAGGATCCCTGGCCGGGCCGGTGCGTGTGTGTGTGTGTGGTGTGTGTCTGTGTCTGTATGTGTGTGTGTGTGTGTGTGTGCGTGTGCCGGTGAGCGGCTCAGGCCGCCTGACGCCAGCCGGGCCACATCCATCCCGCTCCCGCTCCCGGCGCGGAGCCGCCCGTCCCCGCCCGCCAGCCGGTAACAACTTCGCGTCCCCCCGCGCCTCTCCCCGCTCGCTGCCCGCCGTGCCCGCGCATCCTCCTCCTCCTCCTCCTGCTGCTCCCTCCCTCCCTCCCTCCCTCCCCCGGGTGGTCCCCGGCCCGGGGGCAGGACCGCGGCGCGGGAGCGGCTCCTCGGCAGCGCTGCCCTCCGCTCTCCTCCCTGCCCGGCATGATGGCGTCCCTGCGGCGGCCCGGGGGGCACCGCTCCCGGATCCAACTTCGGCGGTAGGTGCCACGCCGGGCCCGCCGGGAGGCACAGCCTTTCCCCGCCGGGAAGCCGCCGTTCTCCTCCTCCTTCTCCTCCCCGTTCCCGTTCCCGGCCCCATTGTGCGCCCCCGGGGACGCGGCGGAGCCCCGGCCGGCCGGGGCAGGGGCCGCCTTTGTGTGTGCGGGAACAGCCCTTCGCCTCCCGCCTCGGCCCAGCCGCGTCCCTCTCCCTGTAATTTATCTTTTTTTTTTTTTCTTCCTCTTCCCCCCCCCCCCCCCTCCCCTCCCCCCCCCCCCTTCCCCCCTCCCCCCCCCCCCCTTCTTTCTTCTTTAATGACAAATCTGTGCTTAGAGGTCAAGGAAAGTTCACTTAATTTTTTTTTTTCTTCTCACTGTTAAAGGGTTTGGATGCTTGAGATTTTCCCCCTCCTCAGTATAGTTTCTTCATATACTTGTACAGCCAAATACTCTTATCCTGAATATAGATCTTTAGAGCTTATTAAGATTTACTGGCGTGGAAATATTTAGTCATGCGTTCGAAAGGATCTGGGCCAGATACTGACTATTTTTTTTTTATATAAACCGAAGTCAGAGGGAGTTCTGCCCGAAGCAGGGTTGCTGTGATTGCTCTTTTGTTAGTAGAATAATCTGAAGAAGATAAGTGGTACGACCTTACAGTTTGATTTTACAGTATCTGAATAATTCGAGCTTATTCTGAAAATCAGTTATTATTTTGGTGTATTTTAGGATAAAATGATGCTCACTGCATGTCGAAAAGGGTAACAGTTTGATTTGGGGAAGTATTATAAACAGAGGTTAATAAAAGCAGTATTGTTGGATCCAGATGGAGAGGACTAAAAGTAGATGTGTATTTCAGATACAAGCAAATGGAAAAGATCATTGACTGAAATATGTCAGTGTTTAATGGATGTCAGTGCTTAAAGATACAGTGTCTTGAAACTAATATGCTTAGGAAAGAGCTGTCATAGCTGATAGTTTGAATCTCTTGCACACAGAGGAGAAATCAAAGAAAACTTGTTTAATTTTTTCACCTCCAATAGTTACATGTGTTTTTAAGCAGCAGTCAAGAATAAGACTAAAAACTGAAGCTAACCCAGCCCATAGAGAACACTTTTCTTTGCAGGCGTGTGTCTGTAATTCTGTCAGTCTTCATGTGGCTGACTGTGTGCACCTTGTCCTGTCAAACAATAGGAGCAAATCATGTGAGAGAACCTAAGATTGACTTAATTTTTTCTTTTACTTGTCAGTAATTACTCTGCTGAATTATGGGACATGAGTTTGTTAGTTGCAGCTGATTAATACTCATTTAATTTTCCCATTGAACCAGAGAGCAGTGCTATGAAGCTTTTTAGAGGTTCTCATTGGATTTTACTGCAAGTTTTGAGTGCTTGTTTCATTACTGTGACTGGAAAAGCACCAGTGTGAAAATGAAGGATATCTGGCCCTTTTTGAAGTACTTGCTGTGGTCTTAGGGATGAAATCTTGCAATTTACTTCAGACTGTAAGTAGGTGGTAGAGAGAAATTTCCCTTGATTTGGGTGATCCAGAGGCCTTCCACAGCTACCAGAAAGGATCAGTTCAAGGCATGATCAGGTTACCCCAAGGGTAGGGATTTGTCCTTGCGTCTGTTTTGACCCCATTACCATTGGATATGTAATCAAATACATTTTTTTCCTACTCTGTCCTGTTCAGCTTGCTTTTTCATGTACCCTTGAAGATGTGATGATCCAATAAATTTGAGAAAAGTGACTGAATAAACAGATGGAGATCTTTCTGTTTTGGTATAAATATTAACTATCAATCAAATATTTGAAAGCTGATGAGTTTAGTGTTTGTTTTTCCCCTGTAGTTTGAACACAGAGTAAAGAGTTGGATGTGAAGAAAAGCAATACAAAGGTTAATTAAAGTGCTACTTGTGTTTCTGAGTACTGGGAAATTAATCAGATTAAACTATGAGTTTCTTTGCTTGGTATAAAGATTTTAAAAATGAAGAGGTTATGACTTTTAATTTTTTTTTTAAATTGAAGTATGAATGCACTGGATATTACATATAGCCAGTGTTCTATGAAGACCAAATTGTGTGTGTAAAATAAAAGCTCATTTGAGTAGTCTTACAGGCCTAATGGAGGCATCATCTCAGCTTTATAAATAATGTAAGTTGTGTATAATGTGGAGTCCCCAGAGATTGCAGAGAAAGCATCATTACCAGCCTTTTCAACCTGCTGGAGATCTTAAATTGATTTACAGCACTGAACTGGTGCAAAATGATACATCAGGATGACACAGGGTCAACCTGTAAAAGTCTATGATGTGAGCCTGTTAGTTCGGTCATCATAATTAAACCATATTATGAGGGCAGTGAAGCAAGTGTCTGTGACATGTCCCATTGTGCTTCAGATACGGGTGGTTTAAGAATCAAATAAAGACAGCACCGTGTTTTTTATTTAAGTTATGCAAAGAGTAGTTGAAATTAAAGCTTGTGGGAAAATGCTGAACCGATTTAGGTTGACTCTTAACCTCTTCCTTGCAGTCATTAGGAACTGAAATAGATGAAGGCATGTGCAGCTTCGAGATGTGTGCGTGGGGAAGTGGTTGTGAGTGAATCTCTGAATTTTATATATCCTTTCTCAAGCCTCAGAATCAGCTAGACTTTAAGTGCAGACTGTGCTGTCAGATATCCACAGGACAAACAGCCAAACAAGCCAATTGTTTGGGCTTTTTTTTTCCCCCCTAGTATTTTTATCCTACTGAAGTTTGTAATTTACTGTTGAAATGTTCCTGCAGATTTGAGTTCTTGTATAAGACAGAGCATTTTAGTCATATCTTGAACTATATGACCAAACTTATTTTAGAACAGACACTGTAATTTTGAATATGGCTTGGCATAGCTCATTCTGCTTTTCTTTAGTGAAGGCAGCTGTGGCTTC